TTTTTTTTTCTTTTTAGGGAGTATCCTTGGGGAGTGGTTGAAGTTGAAAACATGTTGCACAATGATTTTATCCCTTTACGTGACATGGTGGTTCGAACAAACTTGATCGATATGATTGAAGTGACCAGATCCGTTCATTACGAAAATTTCCGACTTCGTCAAATGGACAAGTTACCGAAACATGCATTGGATAAGTAAGTTGATACTTTACAAGTACTTCTACCGTATACCCAGCTCTTTCTTCTAGAGATCCCTTTACACAGATGGAAGAAGATCGCAGGAAGAAAGAAAACGAGTTGGCGGAGAAGAAGAGAAGTTTTGAAAAGGTTTATTTCTCCTAAACAAATTTTGAAAATTTGAAATTTTCTTTCAGACATTCGCTGAGCGCGTGAACGACAGAGAAATCAAGATTAATGAGAGAATTGGCAGGGTGAAGAGCTCAAACTTTATTTTACAGTGTCTGAATGTTTGAAAAAAAAATCGTTAAAATCTTTCAGCTGGACATTCGTGAGCGCGATTTGAAACAAGAGATTGACTTACGAAAGGCTGAGTTGGAAAGGCTGAAGCAGGAGGTTTGCAACGTTGTTATCTTTGTACTGCACTTTTAGTATTTTTTGTATACTTTTTGTTTGTATTGATCTAATTTTTTTGTAGATCGACGATCTTCGTCGAGGAAGTATTGGTGATTCGAAGACTTCACTTTCCATGACCAATGAAAATTCCGGTAAAAGCTCGCCGACTGACAAGATCAAGAAGAAGAGCTCAACTTTGGGGCTTTTCAACAGGAATTGATTGTACATTTACCCTCGTTTGCTGTTTTTCACTTGGAGGTATCATATAAATATTTTTGTGTCTTTTCTTTACGATTCTTCAAGTCTCATGAGTTAAATATTTTACAAATTGGTAGGAAGAGGTGGCTATACTTTCTTGCTGAGGAGTTCATGTTGTGTGCATTTGTGGACGAAAATCAGAAACATCCAATCACTTTATTTATGCTTCCCTCCTGCTACATCGAAACAGAAATTTGGGGATAACATGGACGTGATGGACTCGACACAAGGGACGATATTGTGTGTTACAAGTTTGGCATCATATCAAATCTTGCTGCTGTTCAGCACATTTGTTGAAGCGTGCACTGAATTCTTCGTATTTTTGCACAGTTGCTGGTGTTAGGAGTGCGGCAAACTTCTGAAAATTAGGATTTAAAAGCCTATAATTTGTCTGTTTCACAATTTGCGCCACCATTACTCTGCGTCTCTGACCTGCGACACGTATGTGTAACGTGTTGGCAACATGCAACAACATGTTGGGCTCAAGGAAAACATCAAAACGCTTTTCCAACACGT